TAAGCACAATACTTGGTTGGCACTTAGTAAGGGCTCAATAAATATTTAATAATGAATGAGATAAAGTTTTTACTGTGAGAAATGACATGAGTTACAAGCAACTGGATCTTAAGCTGACCAAGCACACTAAAAAGAAAAAAAGTTGCTGTAAAATAATTTTAAGAGTTTTAAAAGCTGTATCTTTGAAAAAGACTATCTAGATTGCTTCCTAATTTTTGTAAGAAAGCCAACTTCTATTTTATGAAATATCCAAATTGGTGTCACAGCTGGATTAAGACCTGGAAATATTAATCAAGAATTAGACAACATGTCTAATTTTTTCAGATGTAAAAAAGAATTGCCCAGAGATACTGATGTGGCAAGGCAATGTCATGGAAAGGATGACTGAACCCAACAGGCAACCCATTTGACCTTCAGATTTGTTACTAATGGAAGAATTGAAAGTTTTCAAAAAGATATTAGTAACTAAAGATCTACTTAATTCCTCAAAGATAAAAAAATTTCTATCAACATGATCAAGTAACATAATCAAAACAAACCACACTCCATATGTACAAATAATGCCTGGTTTAGAAAGAATAAGAGAAATAAACTTTAAAACTACAACTTGCAATCTTAGACATTTTGTACGTGGCAGATATGCAAACAGATGCCTTATACCCCATTGTATCATTAACTTCTAAACAACCTGTCATCAATTCTCAAACTTTTTCGTCTCAGGACCCTTTTATGTTTATATCAGTTATATTAGCAAATATTTACAATATTAGAAAACTTTAAAATTATTATTAATTAAAAAAATAAAAATCTATTATAAGAAAAATGCTATATTTATGGAGAAGAGTTACACTTCTTTATATTTTTGCAAATTTCTTTAATTTCTGCTGGATTCTCACATATGCTTCTGCATTTAATCTACTGTAATAGCACATGTTACCTCATTTTAATCATCACAGACAATGGACACAAAAATGGGAACTCTTAAAATCTTGATTCAGATGTAGCTTATCACTCAAAAGAACTGGTGGCATAGGTACCAAGTTTTGTTTCTTAGTTCAGGCTTTGGGGACCAGACGATGTGCTCTTCTCTGTGCTTGCAACTATGTGTTGACTGGATGGATGCATACAACCTGAACACTGTACGGAACATATCCCTGACATCTGAAGGTAGTGTGGCTAAGCTCATGATTTCCAGAGGAGAGGGAATACCTTATCTCTGTGTATTTCAGTATTGAGAATATTATCTTGTATAGAATAAATATATATGTTTCCGGAACTGAAAGGACACTGTAAATTGTGTAAAAAATTTGAATCTCAAGATCAAGACCTTCTACTAATAAGAGTTATGCTTTACATGCTGTATTCATATTCTTTCCTAGAATCTACTTCTTTGCTGAGGACTCCTTTCCAGGAAGCATGGACTCAGTGAATACAGATTCATTTTAATACCAGCTTGAACCAGTCCTTAAGAAAAACAAATCTCCTCATTAAAGAGAATGAGAGAGACACAGACTGAGAGATAAGTATTCAGTCCAAACATAAGCTTAAAAAATTTCAGGTTATCTGTACCATTCACGAAGGAATGAAAGAGGAATGAGGTGTGTGTGTGTTTGTGTGTGAGAGAAAGAGAATAAAATAAGTAGATTTATTTGAAAAAGGTGACAATAATGCAGTTCTTCATATGTGAATGTAAAAGCCTCTAGTTCTTTCCAAACTTCTCCAAAGTTGGTTTATATTAAGTGAGCTACAGATGTTAGACAAGGGAGATATGCTGCACTAGCTACTTTGAAAGGTCTTCTTTAATGAGCCGGAACTCTACGTAAACCACTCTTGAGGAACAATTAATTTACCATCTGTGAAGCAAAGGTGTCAGGTTAGATCAATGATTTCGGGCACAACAGAATGATCTAAGAGAGTAGAAGGAAGATTCCTGAGCCCTTCCCATATATATTCTGATTTAGTAAGTATGGTGTGGGACCTACAAATTTGTAGCAAGCACTCCTGGTGATTTACTGCTTAGAGTCTGTGTACCCCATTTGGAAAACTGTATCAGACAATTACCAAAACCCTTTAATCTATAAACTACGGGTGAGAGACCACAGAACAGTGGTTTTCAAAGTGTGTTCCACAGTACCGAGGCTTTTTCAGAGGATCTGCAAGGTCAAGACTACTTTCATAGTAATACTAAAACATTATTTGCCTTTTTCACTGTGTTTACGTTTACACTGATAGTGCAACACCAACTACTGAGTAAAACTACTGGTGCCTTAGCATGAATCAAGATGGAGACACCAGATTGTACTAGCAGTCATTGTATTCTTCATTGCCAAAATACTCACAGAAAAAAAAGCCAGTTTCATTTAAAAGAATGTCTTTGATGAAGAAGTAAAAATTATTAATTTCATTAAGTCAACCTTGGGAACACATCTTTTTAATATTAATATGTCACAAAATGGAAAGAACACAAAAAGCATTTCTGCATACCAAAGTATGAGGTTGCCTTGAAGAAAAGCACTATGTGTTTGACTTGCAAGCTGAACTAGTTGCTTTTTTTTCACAATACACTGTTTTTCTTCAAATAATGACTAGCAGAAAAACTATGGTTATTCAACATGAGCATCTGGCAGATGTTTTCTCATAAATGAATAAAGTGACCCTGTCATTTCAAGAATAACAATCAACAGTATGTGTAGCCAATGCTAAACCTTGAGCTTTAAAAATATATACGATTTTGGGGGATTTGTATCTATCACTATAAGCTTTTTGTTCTTGATACTGAAAAGACTTTTCTGATGAGATCAGTGGTAATATTAACAAACATAATTTTTTTATATTGTGTAAGGAAATGTGTCAATATTTGGAAGATCTAAATAATTTAGTAAATCAATCTTTTCCAAAAGACCAGTGCATCATAATATAAATTCATGCTATACATTATTATAAAATCCATTCAAAGTACAGGATAAAACAACACATCATAATGTAAAAGAATACAAAATTCACAGATATGATTTGAAATTCCACATTATAACTAATTAGAAGAAACTACCATTTATCGAGTTTTATATAGTATCAAAGAATACCCCAAGTTATTTGAAGAGACTATTAAAATACTATTCCCTTTTCCAACTATATATATGAGACTGAATTTTCTTCAGACACTTCACCTAAAACAACTTATTATAAGTTTGAATGCTGATATGTGAAACAGCTGTCTTCTATTAAACCAAACATTAAACACTTGCAAAAATTATAACAGTGCCATTCTTCTAACTTTTTTTTAATGGTTATTTTTCATAAAAACATGATGGGTTATTTCTAAGTAAATTAATAAATAATTTATCATAATAAATATTGGTAGGAATACCCATATAAACAAAAGCTCTTTGGCATCCTCAACAATTTTTAAGAGCAAAAAGTGAACCAAAGAACAGTTTGAGAACAACTGCCCTAGACCAAAAGAGGTACCCAAATCTAGCAGTGCATCAATCATGATGAGAAAAGGTTATAAATACAAGTAGATGCCAATGTCTCAGTCATGTGGAGGAGAGTCCCGTCACTGTAGTTAAAGCAAAATGTTCACCAGATGATTCTTACACGTGGCCAAGTTCAGAAACCACTGAAACTATATTTGACTGTGATTGCTTTGGGGAAAGCTGTTCACTGGTGCCCCCTTGTGGCTATTTGCTTTTTAAAATAAAGTAAGAACGGTTAACACCAGGAACTCAGTAGACACAAAATTCTAATTCTGTAAGGGACCCCAGAGATCATCCAGTTCAACTCCCACATTTCAGATGGAGACTGGCAACTGCCACACACTATTACAATATAGTGTGATAAATGTTATGCTATACTTTGGTTAAGTACAGGGTGTGAAAAAAACATATGGCGTATTCATGTGTTCCAAACTTCCATTCCATTTTTTCCATTACATCTCCAGGGAATTAAGCTTCCTGAAGCAATTGCTTCTGAGCTAGTCCCAGAGAATGGGCCAGGAGTTGAAGGATGAGAGTATTCCAGTCAAAAGGATGACAAGTACCAAGGCTCAAAGGTACAACAGACCATGATTGGCTCAGTACTGGAAAGCGCAGCAGTGGCCAGTTTTAAGAGCTTGCTATAATTAGCAGCTGGTACTTAGCTAAGCTCATTGCATTACCTTAGGTAATGTTCATAACAATCCTCAGATGTTATACCCTCAACCAACCTTATAAGGTAATGGATGATATTAACCATTTATAGTTTATGATTTTTTTTTTTTCCTTTAAAATTTTTTGAAAAGCAGCTAGCTTTCCAAGGACTACTAATCCTTGGAAAAGCTTATCAAGAGGTACAAAAGCCACTTTTATGTTTTAAAAAGGAAACAATTTATTCAGAATTGCTTTAGAAAACACCTTAAAGAAATGGAATAGCTGTATAAGGTCCTTGGGATAAATCAGGGAAAAATAAAGCTCTTTTAAATTTAATAGAAGGGTAGACAATGCTTTAATTATAAATATATTAAAGTTAAGTGAAAACTTTGAAACTCTGCCTTTCTCTTTCTCTAGTTTCTACTTTGTGGATATAACCTTACCCATAGGTCCTACAGTTATAGTAAGAAGAGTAGGAGCTCTGAAATCAGATATGCAACAACACTGTCTTCACCACATATTAAATGTGACCACATAAATTAACTTTGAATTTCTACGTCTACAAAATGGGGATGATACCTTCCACTAGATTGTCATGAAGAAAACATTAGAACAGATCACATTATATAGATCACTTGACAGACGTAAGGCTTTGTTCTTTCTTCTTCACATCTATGAATCACTGTTTCTCAAATTGTGACAGGCCAACAGCTTAGAAGAGTCTGCTTTCATTAAAAAATACCCATGAATGAATCTTCTTTCAATCCCTCACATTAAGGTGATTTTACATCTATTTTAACAGATTTAATGTTCTAATATAGGGCATAAACACATGTCTTTATGTGTCTATCAGTTTAAAGGAGTTTGCCTTACTTTCTCTGATGCTGCTTCTGCAGGGCTGCCTCTGATAACTGTCCCTGAAGGATGAGTCTTCTTTGCTTATCAATATCTCCTTCCATTCGAGCAAAAGCATGAGAGCCAATGAAAGACAGATCAACTCCTAAGCCTTCATCCTCTTCCTCTTGGTTGTCTGTAACAAAAATACTGTCAATAGAGAGCTTCTGATAAAACTTGACAGGAAATGCTACAAACAGACTAAATACAGCAGTAGGCATGACTGTGAGGTAACTCAAACACTGGGTTAAGGTTATTTTTTGAAAATGAAACTGAAATCAGATTTAGGGATCTGAAGAACTGAAATAATGTAAGAAACCAACTGTCCATGTGTGACAGAAGTTTTAGGAATACATGAAGTCAAATCAAGATAACTTGGGTGTATTAGGATGGCAACAGTAGAATGCAATCATTAGTAAAAGTACAGAAGTAATCATGCAGTATGTGGATTTAAAGATGGATTGTAGCAAGGCATCTAAAATAAAGAGAAAAACAAAGAACAATATTTGGTGTCACTTATCTAGAATTGCTTAAGGAGGGAGCACTTGACTGGTTAGTATATTAACTTCAGTCCTTTCATTAGGTAACCCCTGAAGGAAGATGGATGGACTAGGTTGGCAGGGTATGATCCAAATTCATTAAGATATATTTTGACTCTAATTTAGCATCCTGGTTTTCTACACTGGTTATGCCTAATAATTATAGTGGTCTATAGGAGTTACAGTTTTCACTACAATTTAGTAAGTCAACTCCCTGATTTATCCATATGATCATTTTATGTTTGGCTAATAGAAACTAGTCCTTTGGGAGTGGATTATCTCTTAATTTGTTCCTCACTACCTTGTCAGATCTGTTAAAAAGAATTTTTTTAAAAAAAAGAAAGAGAAAAGAAACAAAACAAAAAAAAACCACTTGGACCAGAAGAAGCTTCCCAAGACAATGCCACCACCTGAAGCCCAGCCTGACAGGCCATCCAACTGGGACTGCTTCACAGCTACTTCACTGCTCCTCAAAACGGGACAGGCCAACAGCTTAGAAGAGTCTGCTTTTATTAAAAAAGACCCATGAATAAATCTTCTTTCAATCCCTCATGTAAAGCTGATTTTACATCTATTTTAACAGATTTAATGTTCTAATTCAAAGTATGAACACGAGGGCCTTTTGAGGCAGTATTTTCTGAGACACAGATGTAAATCAAGCACTCTTTGAGAATGGTGGACAGAAGGGGACCTTTTGGCTCACGAGTATCTACTTCCCAGTATTGGCATCTAAAAGTGGTTTTGCTATTCATTATTCCTTGTCATATGAAATACATTTAGGAAAAATTATATTTTATAGTAGTGGTCACAATTATGAGGATTTCCAAATGACTCTGAGCACATATCAGGGGTGTACTATATTGAAACTCCCTAAAACATATGGGTATCTCTCTAGCAAAACTTGGTTCACAGACAGTTCCTGATGCTACGTAATTCCCTCCATTTGATTTAAGTCTGTATACGGGTAATAGAGAGTAGTCTCCTACAGATTTTAACTTGACGATCATTTAAAAGTGTTTGCAGGAGGATCTCACAGTAATTCCTAAGCTGCTAACTTTTGAGATCAAGTTCCAGCACTGAAATTTGTGAGGCATGTCTCCATTGAAGGGATTTATGAGCTTAAACATGTATCCATGAAGATCAGTATCAGCTGCTATAAAGAACAGATTAAGAAGGGCTCCCATTCTACCATGCTCTACCATTGCTTCAATCTACAGAAGTGTGTAACCTAAAGACACACAAAAAAAAACGGTTATTGTATTCTTCTATTCATGTTTAATGTTAGGTCTGGCTTTGAGGGCACTGTTGAAGCTGTGGGAAATTTCAGATAAAGTACCTGACTACTGTCTCAACAGTGTCATGCATGAAACTAAACTTCATGAAGGTGAAAATGTGTCTAACTCTGAATCACTACTACCTAACACAGACTTCCCATAATATAATTATTTTTTAGTTTAAAGGATAAATCTTAACAAGAATAAGACTCTAAATTAAACACCTAAGTTGGTCTTGATCTTAGTGTCACAATAAAAGAGAGCTTCCCAAGGTCTAGCTGAACTTTCTGCTTCTTTGGTGGTTTGTGTTTTATCAGTCCCTTCGCCTGCTTAAGAGGAGAAATAAGGAAGGCAGAACTCACCCTCTGGGGCACCAGGTTTCTCACTTATTCGAATCTGCCGTTCAGGTACTACAGGCTCCCCTTCTGCATTTCCAATATCTGCAGGGAGGTAGGGCAATGATCGACTCTCCTCCTTTAATGACCTTGGGAAGTACAGAGGTAGCAGCTTCCGGTAAGTAGCCTGTTAAAAAGCAAGTCATACGGTGAAAAATAACGAAGTACTACAGCGGGCATCAAGCAGTGCTCAGTGCTATCCCACACACTGTGCCTCCACCAAGAAGAAAGCCCTTACCTCTTCTATTTAGGCTCAGACTTGATGCTGTCTGGGACCCTCACTCAGTTCTTGTGTTAAGATCAGGATATTGTTAGCTAGTCAAGTTAAACATGATTCCCACTCTAGCAATTCCAACCAACTGAACCTAGAATGCATAGCCCTGCCACTCCTGCCACTTCCTTCACTTTACTAGGGATAATCGGTCTTTCAAGATTCAGTTCAGATGCTGCCTCCTTAATCCTCAGGGTTCCATCTGGGTCCATTTGACCTAGGCTTAGCTTTCGAGATTTTTTTTTTAACAGTTCTAACTCTTTGTAAAGGATTGTTATTTTATGACTTGTATTCTTTCTCAGAGATTTCCCAAGGAACAAAGATAAACTTTACTTACAAGAAAAGGAGTAAAACTCATTTCATCTTATAATTTCCATATGGGTTGGTCCACTGGATTCACTTAAAAATCCATGATACATTATAGACACTCAGTGCCCTTATTTTTCCTACATCTTGAAGCATTTTACTTTTTTAATAATTCTATGAATCATTTTTATGATTCATAGTACAGTATTCCTAACTGTACTAAAAAAAGACTGAAACAGAATAATAAGCCAAAAGAATGATGGAATTGCCTAGAAGGACAAAGAAGTCATTCAAGAAATCATTATCTGTCTGTTTTCTTATCATGTCACCTGTAATATTGCATCATCTTTCATGCGTATGAGGTGGGTATGTAAAAAGACTGGAGATAACATCTCTTTAGTCTTTAAAAAAAACTGAGATAATTCACATAACACAGAATTCACCCTTTTAGAGTATACAATTCAGTGGTTTTTAGTATATTCACAAAGTTGTGGAATCATTACCACTATCTAATTTCAGAACATTTTTATTATTCCAAAACAAAAATCTAAGCTCACGAGGGGGCGGAGCCAGGATGGCGGCATGAGTAGAGCAGTGGAAATCTCCTCCCAAAAACACATAGAGCTATGAAAATATAACAAAGAAAAATCTTCCTAAAATAGAGACCACAGGACACAGGACAACATCCAGACCACATCCACACCTGCAAGAACCCAGCGCCTTGCAAAGGGGGTAAGATACAAGCCCCGGCCCGGCGGGACCCGAGCGCCC